AAGTGGATGTGGAAATGGAAGTAGGAATAAGTGGGAGTGTAAATTAGAAATAGTGGAAGTAAGAATGAAAATTGAAACTGAGAGTGGAAATTAGAATAAGTGGATGTGGAAATGAAAGTAGGAATAAATTAGACGTGGAAGTAGAAATTAGAAAAAGTAGATGTGGAAATGGAAGTAGGAATAAGTGGGAGTGTAAATTAGAAATAGTGGAAGTAGGAATGAAAATTGAAAGTAGAAGTGGAAATTAGAAAAAGTGGATTTGGATATTGAAGAAGGAATAAATTGGAAGTGGAAATTAGAAAAAGTGGATGAGGTAATGGAAGTAGGAATAAGTGGAATTGGAGGTGAATATGGAAGTAGGAATAAGTGAAAGTGGAGGTGGAAATGGATTTATATAATATACAATACTCCCTGATCTTTGAAAGTTACAAATAAATATTTAAACAATTTGAATATCATAACTAGTGTCACAGCAACAATTTCTGTCCAATATCTAAAAAAACTGTGACTAACTACCACTCATTTGAAATTTCTACCTGGAAATGTCTAGGTTTTTTTCCCTATAATTATAACCTTATTATTATATTTCAAAAAAAAATTTTCAATTTATCCCATTCCTTTTCTTTTTTTAAAACCAATTTTTTTTTTCAAAAGCAAAAAAAAATCACTGTTAAATTAATTAATAAAAAGGGGATTTTAGGCGTGACTGACTTGTCGCTCGTTAAAATTAAAGACCGCCCAGAATGTGCCAGGAAGGCCCAAGCAATTTTATGCTTTTTAAACGCAATCTGCATCACACGGGGGGCGGGTAACCATTGTACACACTCAGCATAACATTATACCGTTTTAACAATACATGTCCCTTATATTTATTCAATTTATATTCTTCCTTTTTCTCCATCTATTTTTTTTTATTATTTCATATTCATTTTGAAATTACAAATAATAAATTCCAGCAAATTAATTAAAGAAATGTCTTGACACATTTCATTTTCAGGCACTGATGTTTCGCGCGTTAAGTGGCCTTTGCGTTAAGTTTCTCGCAATATTTTTGCGTCCATTAAGTACACCATTACGAAACAATGTTGAAAACTTTTTTTCCTTCCTCTTTCTTTCTCCCTATATATATATATATAGTGGACAAAGGTAGAAAAAAAGAATAGAAACACCCCTTGGCACTAAAGATGCAATATATCCTAGACTAGTATTTTTTTTCCTGCTGAAAAAGAGTATTTTTATTTTCGCTTGTGTAAAAATTCATTGTCGTTGGAACAAAAATTCTTCTTAAAATTCTTTTATTATATATGCTTTTTTAATGGAATCAGGAGGAAATATTCACAATATAAAGCACATAATGGAAAAATTCCTCTTTATGACGTATATACGAAAGTTGAGGATCAGGTATTGAAATAAAACTTTCATGGAGAGAAAGAGAGAGAGGGGGAGAGAGTTGTTGTGTGCATGTTTTCAGCATAGTTTCATGTCGAGCTTTTTCTACAAACATTCCACATACCTTGAAAGCGTTCATCGTTTCATAGGTTTGTAGGTGGATGCAGAAGGGTGAAAAAGGTGAATATATGCAAAACTTGTCGGGCATTAAAGACAAATTGCAATGTAAACATTATTTGATTTTCTTGTTACATTCATAAACTTGTAGAAATAAATTCGATTATAATTATTAGATTCTTTTTTTATCTTTTTCATCAGATGGTCAATTCCGTAGTTTTTCCAATTTCCCACCTTGTATTTTCAGCTTTCCATTTTCTACATTTTAATTTTCACTTGCCACTTCTTAATTTTCACTTTTCTACCTCCTACTTTCTACTTTATACATCAAATTTTCACTTACTACTTCTTAATTTCCACCTCCCATTTTCCATTTCCCACTTTCTCTACTTTGTCTCCTACTTTTGTTTTTCCACTTCCCAATTTTCACTTTTTCACCGCGTACTTTCTACTTTCCACCTCCCACTTTTTACTATTCCACTTCGCATTTTCCACCTTCCACCTTCTACTTCCCATTTTTCAGTTCCCACTTCCTATATACAATGTGGGTAGTGAAAAATAGAAGGTGGAAGGTGCAAAAAGGGGACAGTAGATGGTGGAAAGTGGAATAGTAAAAAATGGGAGGTGGGAAGTAGAAGGTGGAAAAGTGGAAAAAAGTAGGAGATATAAAGTAGGGAAGTGGGAGGTGGGAAGTAGAAGGTGGAAAAGTGGAAAGACAAAAGTAGGTGATAGAAAGTAGGGAAGTTGGAGGTGGGAAGTAGAAAGTGGAAAAGTGGAAAGATAAAAGTAGGAGATATAAAGTAGGGAGGTGGGAAGTAGAAGGTGGTAAAGTGGAAAGACAAAAGTAGGTGATAGAAAGTAGGGAAGTGGGAGGTGGGAAGTAGAAAGTGGAAAAGTGGAAAGATAAAAGTAGGAGATAGAAAGTAGGAAAGTGGGAGATGAGAAGTGGAAATTCGGAGGTGGAAAAGTGGTAGTAGAAATTGAGAAGTGGAAAGTTAAAAGTGGGAAATGGAAACTAGGAAAGTTACGGAATCGCTCCCCAGGAATGTAAACAACTTAGGAGGGGAAAAAATATATAAAAAACGATACCTAATCAAGAGTTCTTTTGATCGAAAATTTCCAAATTGTCTGCCTTATCTAAGTAAAACAAAAGTGTCTATTTATAAGTAATAAAAACGCGCCTCTCTCTCTCGGTAGCGATTTTTCTTGATAAACACGTTTCTACGTGTAACGTGCGCAACATTTTTTTTTTTTTACAAAAAGGAGGGGTTGAAATATATATGAAAAAGCTTAAAATTCCAGCCATGCACACACGCGGTGGAATTGATTACGCAAGCGAACACAACGATAATGGTAGTTAGTGCTCCTGCTGTGGGTAGATAACCACCCCTTGGACTATGAGGCCGTTTGCAGATTCTTTACAACTGTTTGCGATTTCGTAAAGACACGCCTTGCATCCTGGCAACGAGATAGAACACGCACTCGTCCCTCTTTAGAGACGCCTGTCTGTATGGTGCGCTTTCTTTCGTTATGCACTAAACCATGCTTGAGCGATATTGCTGATTTCGATTATGCAGTCGCTGCAATCTCTTCCCACACTCTCTTTCTCTGTAATGCGCGCTATACGCTCTTCTTAGTCCCAACGACAAAAAAGAAAGAGAAAAAAAAAACATTGAGATTGCCCATTGTCGCCAGAACAGCACCAAGATGAAGGGGTCAGATTAACGCTCTGATTTATAACAATGAGATTTGGATACCAACAATAGTCGTCTGTTAAATAAATATCTTTTACTTATGAAAAACAATTCATGTTTCTGAAAGAATTGACAAGATTGTGAAATAAAATGTTTCCTGAAAAAAGCATAGTAGAAAAATTTGATTCAAGTCGTATTATTATTTTTTTTGATAAAAAATGACTAGATGTATGCATTATAAAGGAAAGTCAAGGTAAGGCGACATTGATAGTTCCCCCATTTGAACACAAGAGGAGCACCAGCAATGGCCCTAATCCTTCCGTAATTACTGCCGTAATTGCGCAAATTCAATTAGTATGAAGCCCCGCTTTCGGGTAACAATATACATCAAAGTATCCCACCTCTCTTCTCCTGCAATTTGGAAGATAGTACATTTCCTAACCATAGTACTGCGTCGACCATTGTAGTTTAATGGAATAGAGGGAAAACACGATACTTTACACGCATCTCTGTGAAAAAAAAGAAAATTTATTTCCAAATACCAGAAATATAAAATTAATTTTTCGGTAAAAAATAACAGAAGAAAATACAAAATGTAATTTTGAGAAATAGGATATAATTTTTATTATCATAATCGAGGAATGTGTGAGTGTGTGTTTTGTAAATTATATAGGGAAACGATCTTCTTTTATGATCGGACTAACCAGAACACACGAGCCCTATAATCAGTCTCTTCAGGAATCTCCAGTTGTGTTTTGTTTTTTGTCGAATCGAATTTTCAAGATGATAGAACACCTGTTTCATTTCCCACGAAAACAAAAAGTTTCATAAAACTATCGTTAGTACAATCCTCAAAGTGAAACAGTATAAGTGGTTTGCTGAACCCAAAAACATAGGTATAAGGGATTTGAAAGTTATGTTCGCTCTTTGCATCCAATGACCCTTGAGCAATTTGGATTCACTTTATATAAATCCTGAACTAAATAAAATAAAATTGCTATCATCAAAACCTAAAATTGAAATTTAATTTCAGATCCGCTCTCTTTTTGTCAAGAAAAAAATACATTATATTAATTTTTTTAGTAAAAATTCTAGGGCCCAAAAAGCAATATGAGTGATATGCAAGAAAAAAAAACTTAGGGTTTATTTCAGCATAGGGTGTCTTCTCATCCTCCAAAACGATCTATCAACGTGGTAATTGCACGTCACCTACGTAAGCTGTCGCGAGTTGAGTAGATTTCCCGCGAGTATAACTTTAGTTGTATATATATATAGTGATATGATACTGAATAGCACAAGTGTCTGAAGAAGACACAGATAAAATACATTGTTGTTGGTTGTAGTTTCGAAATCGCCCTATATTGGGCAGTGATGAATCGTATTTCATAACTCTGACGTCTTCCCTTGAAGCATGAGGAGAGGATGCTCGATATAAATCCGATAATTAATGGCACCGATTATACAATACCGTTGGATCCTGGTCATGATTTGGATACGCCCACTCTAGAAAATTAAACTAAAATACATTTTGCGAATAAAACATCTGCTCCAGAAGATTCCCCACACAGGCATAAAAAAGGTGTTGTGTATAGTTGAAAATAAAAAAACCATTTCATCAACATGAATTCGATCGAATCAATTTGTCTGACCATATCATTTATCATAGAAACTATTATCTAAATTGATATTTATGGAGTCAGTTGATTGAGATTGATTTTGAAACGTTTGGACGATAAAAAATAAGGTTCTTTCATGTAATAGGTGCATAGATTAAAATTGTTTTTTATTTTACTGTTTCAGATTCGATGATCCGTTCAGTGACTACAAAAAATCTTGGTGAGTATAAAGAATAAAAGTTGCTGGAATCTGTTTCGGACTTTATACCTAAATCTTTTTATAAGATTAAAAATAGAGCATTTGCAATAAATAGCATTTGTACAATATTGAGGGAAAAAAACACAACTTTGCTTATCTTGTTTTATGTCGCATACTTCACTGTGTAACAATTTGTTTCGGGGGGTGGGAAACGGGGGTAGGTGAGAAATAAACGATTCGATTCACACTCGAGGGCTTCTCTCGATAGGCGTTGAAAACGATCATGCATCGGAAGAGTGCGCAAACACAATTTTCCCCAATTCGAGCAATTACTCGACCTTTCCTCTTTCAACACCCCTCTTGGCGAAAATGCGTTTAAACGCGACGACTCGGTTCCTCTATTGCTTTATTTATGCGCAAGGGACATATGTCATGACACCCTATGGGTAATCTAGGAATATATATCTGCTTTTGTCGTGTTGCACGTAAAGTCAATTAATCATACAAGGCATCTCTTGGAGTGCATATACATATATTGTGTACGTCCGAATTACGCAGCATAATCCCCTCCATAGTAACTATGGATAACTTTAAAGGCACTAGATGCACGTAATCCGCGCGTGGGTTACAGCATCATATCCAATGTCGAATTCTGCAACAATCAATTATAACTTAGAAGGGGGTTGACGTGTGTACGAGAGGGACCTTAATCCCTGATTCTTTATGCATCGATACAATATTAATAACCACGTTTTGAAAGCACGTGGTGAAATGCGCCGACCAATATATGTCCGCAGTGGGAATAACACACACACACGTTATTCAAGATGTAAAACCCCTTTTGTGGGTTGGCGCCATTCTGTTATATATGGATGAAGGTGGATGTTATGTTTCCTTCGTATAACATTTTACATATGTACAACCTGCTTTGCTTTTCCTTAATCTCCCAAATTCCTCTCGAAATATAACGATCCGTAAATACGTAAAATTGTCTGACCGGTGAGAAATAAATGCGGATTAGAAATGAATTATTTTTTCTCTTTTTTTATGTGTCAACCACATTTGTATAATTCACGATTATAAAAAAATTTATCGAAATAAAAAAAAATTGTGGAAACAAATATTAATTTACATTTATTATTTTATATTCTACGATTAAGTGTAGATATAATAAATAAATATGAACCAAGTGCCAGAGAACGAAAAGCTAGTTAAATGTTCTTTCACACGCTTTTATTTTCTTACGCTGAAACTCGTTTATCATTCACGCAGTGTGAATTCGCGGCAAATTGCAGGTTGCAGTATAGCGTTCTCTCTCTCTCTCGCCCTCTCTCTACACTGTTCACTTTGGTCACTTCCACGGAAATTGACTCCACATCTCGATCCTACTATTAGACTCACCCCTCATGTATATATCACCCGAACCACACATTAATATACTCCACGATCACTTCGCATTCGATCAATGTGTCACACACCCTCACCGAATTCGGAAAACAATACGAGATTCAAGATGGAAGCAAACAATTTCCTGAAACACTGGTTAGATGATGGAATGAATAAATCATTTATTTATTTATATGATTAGTGATAGAGAAATTTTGATATGATTGGAATTCAAATATATAAGGGGAAAATTTTTTTGTTTTTTATACAAATAATTTGTATTTGAATAAAGATTAAATAAAATAAAAGGCGAATGATAAGGAAAAGATTTAGTTTTCTCTGGCTGATTCGATTAGAAGGGAGTTGTTTCATCATTGCGTTGTACACTGCGCGGTAGTTCGCTCCGCCCCTTTTTATAGAGGGAGTGTCTTTATCACTGCGTTGTACGCTGCGCAGTAGATCGCTCCACCCCTTTCCTGAAGGGGAGTGGCTTCATCACTACGTTCTACTTTACGCACTAGATCGCTCCGCCCCTTTTCTTAAAGGGAGTTGCTTTAACGCCACCTTTTAGTTTACGCAGTAGATCGCTCCGCCCCTTTTCTTAGAGGGAGTGTCTTCATCACTGCGTTGTATGCTGCGCAGTAGATCGCTCCGCCCCTTTTCTTATGAAGAGTGGCTTTATCACTGCTTTTTACGCTGCGCAGTAGATCACTCCGCCCCTTTTCTAATAGGGAGTGTCTTCATCATTGCGTACTACGTTGCGCAGTAGATCGCTCCGCCCCTTTTCTTAGAGGGAGTGTCTTCATCACTACATTGTGCGCTAGTTCCAATAATTTCAAATCTTTTCTGTTAATTTAAAAGTAAATTTTCCTTTTTTCGAACAAATTAACAAATTGTTTATCTTCTACAGTGATTGAACTAAATTGTAGATTGATTTGAAGGAAACTCATCCGACAAAACAAATTTCAATGCTAAAGTTAATTTCATCTAAAACAACGTACATTTTGCCCTGGGGGTAATAGAAACGAGTAAATACATCTCTTATCCAACTGGTAAATGTAGTAGTTCAATGAAAGTGGTAGTTATTTCATTTTGAAACGAGTCATGTGTAAAATATCAAATAGAATGCAGGTTTGTCTATTTAAGTTCCATAGAGTGGGAAAGAGCGTTTGAGGGATGAAGTGGGGGGTCAGGATTCGCGAAGGGGAGAACGTTAATATTGCGCGGCCGGGTTTGGCGAGTTGGTGGTTCACAAAGTGAGCGAGTGTTGACACTAGCCACTCATTCCACCTTTGCCAAAACCCTCCTCCCACGAACCATGACGCCCTCTATAACTCTATATAACTCCCCCACTACATTTTCTCCCTTTTCAACATCCGTCCCTGAAGCGAATATCCCAAGACCAAAAACTCTCTTTTAGCTCGGGGAATTTTTTTTTTTCCTCTCTTTTTTTCATCAGCACGTAGACGCGTACTTTCAACACACAGTCGACATAATTGCTTTCCATGGCCTATATTCTAAGGTCACCATATTCCCAGTTTCTCGTAATTTATTTTTTTTTTTACTTTCTTTGATTATTTATCACGTTTTGAGAAAATTTTCATTAAATTATTATAAAATTTGGCAAAAGAATGAGAAGTCCATTGGGAGTAGGAAAAACATAAACTGAAAATTCATGGAAAGTGTGAGTCATAATATTCCGTCTGTCATTGCAAGGCTGTCCGAAACATGGTCAAAGAAGACAAAATTAAATTAATATAATCTCGACGGGCGGTGAGAGTGGGTGTTCGCATTCGGTATATATAAGCAAAGCTAGGCGTGCGGGTTTTGAAATAGAAGAAGAGAGAGAATGGGGGATAAGGTGGGACTAGGGGCAACAAATTATAATGCCATAATTGAAAATGTTCTGTACTGCTCTCGGGGTATAACCAACCGGCCAGGCAGGCAAGTTAGCTAACGCGGTGGCACTGAAATTTCAATTTCCCGCTCCTCGTAAATCTGAGGTAAAGTAATTATTGTATTCCGCCGACGCTTTCTTAGACCCATTCACACCCGCGGAAAAGGTATTGTGCGTCAGCTCGGCCATGGGCGTAAGTCTTGCAGGTGCTGTGTAGCTCTTTTCCCAGTTTTAATCGCTTCTCAATTTTCATTCGAGAGAATTCAACTCTCACAATTCACTTATTAAAAAGTGAGCAAAATTAAAATAATTAAAAGCGAAATATTTAAATTATTACTAAAACTATTTTATAATAAATTTTTTTTTCTTCGGGAAAAATAGATCGTTATAGATATTGTTTGATTTTTTTGGAATAAAAAAATATACTGACGAGGGTGCATACAATAAAAATTACCCTCTCTGTACGAGACTGAATAAAATCGAAGCGATTCCCTAAGGTCCTTTTTTTACATTTTGATTTTAGAATTTGAAAAAGCGCGTAAATAAAGCGTATAGAAGAATTGAACACGGCGCGGTAGCATTACGCCAATGAATTTCCCTCCTTCGAGAGAGGAGAGTTTGAACTGTGTTTAAACTTTCTACGGTCCCTACTGCCGATTAAGCAAATTAAATTTCCCCGAGAATGACAATGAAGAAATCACGAGACGACGACGACGCCGCCACCACTGCGCTCTTCCAACGTTTTAACATCATTTGTGAGCCACCATGTATTGTTTCTAATAGCGAGCCAAAAAGTCTCTGAGGAAACTATTGCGAATGAGTCGTTTTGTTCATTCCTCCCTCGAGACAATGTGAATATCTTTCTTCTTCTTCTTCCTCCTTTCAAATATTAAGGTTACTTAAATAAATTATCACTTCTTTCGAACAAAAATAGAAGGGCTGTTATTTTTACTTAAATGAGTCAAATACTTTTTTTTCTTTGGCAACAAGTTCAAGTATACAACAATTTCTAATTTTTTTTAAATATTAACGTTTCATTCAGAATCAAACAAATAACTATATTCTCACGATTTTCATTTTTTCTGTGAAACCAAATCGCCTTACAATGTTGCATCTCTATCGAATATTTCCATTGATATTGAATCGATACTTCTCCGTGGCTAACCGAAATTTTTCAACTATTTTTTTTTTCACTTTTTTTAAGGGGTGAGAGTGACCGGATGTTATATCGCTATAGTAGCAAACGCCATCGGCATTTGTCCTGCGCTTGCGGACTTGAGCGGAATTGATTTATCGATCGCAAGTAACATTAACCACAAGTGTTGGTTTGAAATATACATACAAAATTTGGGTCAACTTATGATTTTATAAACATAATCTTTTCAAATCTATAAAATCTCTTTTCATAAAAAGAGAAAACATCCTAGACATTTATTTTCATTTTTTATTCTCGCAATATCTCACTTCTTTAATTTTGTTTGGTGTCTCCCTAGTGACGGAAAATTTTCCTAACTTCTCGAATGCAGACACTCCTGAGTCTTTTTCTGAGAGAGATAGAGAGAGAGTGCAAAAAAAAATAAGACCGTTTCATAATGTAGAAAGAAGGCAAAGTGAGTGAAAAAGAGAAAGTTAAGAGGGCAAAAAAAAATGCATTTTCTCGTGTCTCCTTTGTCCATGTAGACGACAGGGCACGTGCGACCAGAAAGGCGGCGACAAATTCAATTTGGCTGAATTAGCC